CACTGCAAGTACTGGAGAGGTACTCAGCTTCCCTGATATGTTATCTCCACATCAGTACAAGGAGGCTGAAGAGCCCCTCCCCTGACTGACAACCTCCAACAGGAGACAAACATTCCTTCCCATGGAGACGTAAATGGACACACAAAACACCTGCTATTCTCGGCATCTACCTGTTCAAACACCGGAAACTAAGCACAAAATCAAATGCTCTCAAATTGTTTGACTTTTGAGTCACTGGTCACCTCTTGACAGCTACTTGCACTGTTTCCCCGCCCTCTGTCATAACAACTATGTATAGAAAAGTATATGTTTCAGGATGTTTTATGTTGATTTTATGTTGTATGTACATTGTTGTAATAAACACAAGTGGTTTCCTTCTATCCCCAGAAATTCAATGTTGGAAAAAAATACATCCTTTTGCTTTTGACACAGGTGGCATTAGGTGAACTGTGTAGTTTTGCAAACAAGTTAGGCCTGTCCTGTTGCTTTTGGGACTGAATCATTTGCCCCAAGACTAGGACATGATGATTGGAGTCTGGGATTAGCCATACATGTAAATATTTTATATGGGGTGAAAGACCTTTGGACGTTAAGAAAACATGTCTGGTCTGGGGTGTTTTTCTAGCAACTAATGCTTAGGCAAACTTTAGCCCTTTTTTCAGTGTAGTAAATCTTGTCTAGTGGTTGACATATATACCTGCACAATTGTGTGAGTCAACTTAGACTCAGCTCAGTCTCAGCTATGTGTGTACAGAAGTCAATTCTCCCAAACACATAGTGCCCTGCCGGACAGCCACCCTAATGTCTATATGTCCCCAATATACCAGCTCATATGTGCATATATGTCTCAATGAGCATAGGTCACAATGCGCACACATCCCCAATGTACATGTGGCCTTGTGCCTGTCATGACCATTGTGTTAGGACATCTCAGTGTATACCCCATGCACTGGTGCAGTAGCTGCTTTCCTAGTTGTGGGTCACATCTTGTGCAAATTTTGGCAGTGAATGGAAGGCTTGGTGCCACTACACCCTGTCTTGTAAATCACCCATTCCTAATGCTCTTGTGCAGTTTGTACCTCAACTCAATCTTCTGCAACTTCCAACAACCATGGTTTCATGCACTGCTGTGCATACTGAGCATCACCCCTTCCTGTTAACTTTCATCCACCTGCTATTTAAATGATGCTCCTTGTGGCTAGTCACTTGTGTTGAGGTACTAGTATTTGGTAATCTCCATGCTCCTCTGCAACTGTCATGTAAATTATTCTTGTTTTTACAGTTCTTCACCTTTGAGAGATACAAGGCCCTCTTCTCTTTTGGGTCCCCCACTCCATCAGCTATGGTAAGTATGATGAAATTATTCCAGAGTTTTATGTTTACATGTATCTTGCCATTATCTCTTCAAAGTGTGATTTAAAGTAAGAAAATTTTAGGCTGTCTGACTTAACATACTCGTGAAAGGTACACGTCACTTAAGTACTATAAATATTATTTTTGACCGGAAGTCTAAATTTGTATTCTTGAGAACATTGACACAGCTCGTTGTTTACTCTTCAAATACTTACACAGTTCTCCCCATATTTATCAGAATTCTGACAATGAAGGTGGTTGGAAGCCATACTTGAATTTGTAGAAGCAGACAATTGATTTTTGTCCCTAAGCTGTAAGTGCACCTGTTTTGTAGAGATTGTAAGGTTTGTGCTGATAGATCCACCGTGTTGCTATAGAGATAACAACCTGATTCTGTCAGGTGAGGGCAGGGCTGGCTGTGACCCACTGCTGCCTATGTCACACACCCTTATTGTCCCTCCTGTCTCCAGGAGTCACTTATGATGGATGTCAACTATTGTTCAGCATGCCCGTGTTTGTTTTCTTTCTCAGGCATTCACCCTGGCTGGTTTGTGCTCAGGTTTAACCGAGGCTGTGATTATTAATCCCTTCGAAGTTGTCAAGGTCAAATTACAAGCTCAGAGAATCGCACTATCTCAGGTGAGTATGATTGTAAAATTGAGAAAGACAATGGTAAGTCAGGAAGTGCTAGTACAAATATGGACTCGCTGGTACTGTGACAGACAGTCCCTTGTTTACCAAAACAACATTTACGAGCAAGAGGGCAGGCAAACCTGTGGGTCACTCATGTTCTTTACAATTGCCCCCCAAAGCCTTGAACATTTCTGGAAGATTGAGTTACCCGTATTATTGAACAGACCTGGGTTTTGTCTTACAGTTTTGTGCTAGGTGTTGGTTGGTCACATTCCTAACCCCCTACACATGCTTCCACCTATGCTCAATTTGTTGCAAATGAGAATGGGAGGTGCAGGTCTAAATGGGTTGTAATGTCAGTGAGGTAACTTGAGCCGCTTTTCTTTGTACCAAGTCTCCATTCTAGTATGACTGACTTGTTGATTACGAGGGGGATCAATCCCTTTTTTGAGGCCAAATTCTGCAAAACAAGGCCACCCTGACAACCTCATGCTGTTCTGTTGAGTGTAGACTAAAAACTAAGGTGACTTACAGTGCCAAGATTCACTCAAAGGAAAGGTGTTTACAAATTTCACAGTTTCTGCATGTTTAGAGGCAGGCTGTTTGCCTGGAAAGTCATGGGCGTAAAGGGTTTACAAAAATAAAGTGTAACAAGCTTTGGAGAGGACACAAACCGTAGGAAACCCAGTCAGTGAGAGTCACGTCTTTTTTAGTCTGTTTGGATGGCAGGGGTCACGTTTGACCAGAGAAAATGAATGGGTCGGGGGAAGTCCTAGTGTCGCTGCCAGTGGTATCCTTCAGAAGCCTTTGTACTCTCTTCAAATGTGAGTTGATGTTACACTGTTTGGGACATAATAATTAACAGAAGTATGTAGCAGTGAATGGTTACTAGGGTATTTTCCATATCGAGTGTCTGTCACACTGCTTGCTTGAAAAAATATTTTGTCACTGTTGACGCTCTTCCACCAGCGTGTCTCTGACTTAAGTTTCAAAAGAAGTTTCCGACTTCCTACTATTTTCCCACCTTTTTTCACAGCAACCTTCCACCATACGTACAGCGCAGGAAATCGTAAGAACAGATGGGTTCGGACTACGAGGTCTGAACAAAGGCTTGACTTCCACCTTGGGCCGTCACGGAGTCTTCAACATGATTTACTTTGGATTCTACCATAACGTGAAGAACCTAATACCAGAGAGCAAGGTACATGTATACCTTCAAGAATGGTCCTATCATCTCTCTTTGAATCCATTTGATATTTTCCCTTGATGCCACATTGCTTGATGCCAGCTTGGCAAGCGAGACGCCCTGCCAAGGTATGCTCATATTGTTGTCATCAAATACAAGTCAATGAGTTTCTACGGCATGTCCTGGGGATGGGGAGCCTTTGAGGGGAGGTGAACCAGGAGAATTGGTGGGAAGGTAACACCACCCGTCTCCTGTCTATCTCTCTCCTGTGTGCATCACGCCCGGTATGCTCAGTGAGAACGGAACACAGAACACCGGTTCAGACTGACACCTCACTCCGCTGGCACGCCACGCTGCCTCTGATGGGGTCAGGGGTGACTGGGCATGTGGAAGCCCACATGGCGTCAATGCATGATGCTTCCATCCAAGTCGATTAACTACTTTTGTGATAAAACCACTGGCTGAAGATGTAAAAGTTAGGGGTCTACTTCATTTAACTGCTTCAAAACTCCAACATCACTTTTGAGTTTTGATACAGTTAAATGTAAATGAAGTAGACTTTCAATTCTTTGTCACTTGAAAGTGACCAAAAGTTGAAATGTCATTATACTGACCTATGTGCTTCATGAAACACCTAGGACACAGTGATGTTGTACAACCACATCACTGTATTCCTTCCTCTCACTTCTACACGGTCATCTGTTCTTCTCTCATGTTTTACTTCAAGTCAATGTCCATTTAGCAAAGCTGCTTGAATAGAATTAACTGCTATCTATGACCAGATTTGTCAGGCATCAGTTCTTTGATCTGATCATGCAGTAAAGCATGGATATCTGGATAACAGCAGTTACAACTTTTAAGACAGTTCTTTTTTCAATGAAATGAAAAACACCAACTACGGTACTTCATTCATTTTTTGTTTGTTTCTACTTGTTTGCTTGTTTATTTCACTGAACAAATGGTTTTGTCTCATCCTAATAGGACAAAAAAATGGACTTCCTAAGAAAATTTGGTATTGGTCTGACAGCTGGAACCCTGGGTTCGTGTGTCAATATTCCATTTGACGTAGCCAAGAGCCGTATCCAGGGCCCCCAGCCTGTTACAGGGGAGATCAAGTACAGAACCTGCTTCGCTACCATAGCCACGGTTTACAAGGAGGAGGGGTAAGGACTTGTTGTCTTATAATCATGCAACAGGTTTAAGTAGTAAATGTCAACTAACTTCCATGTCTAGTACAAGAAATATTTCAGTAACCGAAAACTGATTTCTATGATTTGTACAGTTTTTACATTTTAAGCCTATTTAGGGCATTGTACAATGACTCCCCCCCCCCCCCCACTGGAGTACTTTGAACATCTATGTATATGGGCACAGAGACATCTGTATTTACTCCTACGTCATATTTTTGTCATTTTGTAAGCAAGGTCTCGACTTGTACATGTACCTCAGTACACAGTCCCACTGTTGACCAAACAGAGTAATCTGTGGTGGTTGTGGTTTTCTTTCAATGGTTTTCTTCAACTGTAAAGGGAACTAGCCCAGTGTTTTCTCTTAAATTAGGAAGAAATCATAGCAGCATGTGCATGTTGTGGGCGAACTTCCATCCACATTACCCATTTTTGTACTTGACATTCTTCTCCTGACACCTTTCCTATCTCCTGCAGGTACCTAGCATTATACAAGGGACTTCTTCCAAAAATCATGAGATTAGGGCCAGGTAAGGCTTTTGATATTCTACACTTCCATTTTGCTTTTCAGGCACATCTATTATCAAATACAGGTGGATTTGGTGATGTTCGTTGTCTAGTAGTATTTACCTAGATGTGTGCATATGTTCACAGCTTATACTTCTACATGTATAACTAAAGCAAAGCAACATGGTAGCAAGGACAGGCCTCTTATCAAAATAGATTCATAGACTTGTTCACTAATTTGTTCACTTATTTGTTCACTTCTCTCAAAGGTGGTGCAATTATGCTGTTAGTGTATGAGCATGCCTATGACTGGCTGCATCGCCACTGGTGACCATCCCTAAGGAATCTGTCATCATATCCAAAGTCTCCACACAGTAATGGCATCTTCAAGAGATATTTGGCTGCATTGTACCAGCTTTGATGGTTAATGTGCAGTGTCCATATCTATCATATCAATGCTGTTTTAACTATAAACTTGTAGGACAGAAACACCAATTGTTCACTCTGTTTTTGATAAACATTAGGCAAGGCTTGGTTGACCTGTGAGTGGTGAAATGCTGGTATGAGCAATGGAAATAATCCTGACAATACTTTGCACACATCCCCTAACCAAGTTATTGTGAGACTGCTGCACACTGCCACCAGTCTACTGGTAAAACAAAGCAGCTACACTTCGTTCTAGAAGGTCATTCCACAATGTGTAAAAAATACAGTCTCTTTAGCTGATATAGAGAAGCATGTGGAGACTTGTCTTCTTTAGAGGGCATTTTAACCTTCTGAAGAGAGCATTTTGTTACATGTGCTGTATCTTCATTTTTATTACGTTTCATACATTTGAGGTATTACAGGGTGATGTGTGGTCTAGATACAGACAAGGGCAGTTGGGGTATGTGTTGAAAATTATTTATGGTCGAATTATACAATTTCAGTTATGTTAGGAGTTGCCTTGCAAATCAACTTGTACAGGAAAGGGTGCACAAATGGACAGACAACCAGCAATAAATACTGCTTTTACATGACAAGAATCTCTAGGTTTAAATGCCATAACAATGACCTTGGAGTAGAAATTTTGTCCTATATACTTCTGGGTGGATTAGGGAGGTTATGCAAAACAATGCAAAATTAGATCAATGACAACATTCCTCAATAGGTGCCAAATGTTTTCTCCTTTCTAAATGTAGATTAAAAGCCTGAACAAACCCTCTAAAGCTGATAGTATAAATTAACCTTTAAAGGAACCATCATTGTCTCTATGAGTATTGTTAAAATTTGTGATTAAGATAAGTTATGTTTGGGAGGTGATATGATTTACAATACCTTTTTATATATTTGTTGGCAATTATGTTTGCAGGTGGCTTTGTAGAAATGTAGAAGCTGAATGAAACTTGGAAGTTCTGTCATTAAAATTTTGCAAATACTAAATATATGTGATAACTATCTAAGGAAAAATATTGTGTGGAAAGAGAAGCATTTCCCATGAATTATTTTTAAGTATGTTAAGTTCAACACATTTTCCTCCAAAATGAGTAAAAAAAATGTTTAAAACAGAAATCATTTTAAAAAGTCATCCATGTTGTTGAAGTAAAAATATAGTTTGTAATACCTGGACAAATATTTTATTACATCTCTGGCAATGCAGCTGTTAGTGCCTTAGTCACCTGATAATGCTATTGTCATGGATGTGTAATGAAGATTTATTTTTTAAGCACAGTTTTTATGATGTATCTGTATTCAATCCTGTCATCGATGGGCAATGAAGAATTCTGTTTGCATCTTCATTAGCTACCTCAGAATGATATTTTGCCAGATTTTACAGTATTATGCAAATAAACATTAAAGAACTGCCTAACAACTTTGCTGTCATGGAGTTAGTATATCACAGTGTTTTCTCATAATGATAGACATTTCTGTTAACTGAAGATGAAGACTGTATTGAAGTGCCCTGATCAGAATTGTTAGAAAATGTATCGAAACAATTCCAGTGAGCTTGTCAGTGCCTGGAAAGGGTTCAAAGTTTTTATCAGGTCCAAATGGCCATGTTCAGCGATGGTAGCCCATACCGCGTTAACTGTTGTTACGCGTACGTGTCCTAGAACTGCGCTCCTCGCGTTGCTAAAGTAACACTAACACATCTAGAAGTCTAAAGTTGCTAAGTAATGTTAAAAGCCAACTACCCCCATGGTGTCGGTGCAGGTTTGGTACATGCTGTTGTTTCACAATTGATAAGATATTTGAAGGGACGGTAGTTTTCTCTCATCATTTTGGCAAGGCTTGTCATGTCACATTTATTCCGAACTCCGTTAGCAGCCATGTTTGTTCTCCATCCTCCCTGTGCTGTCTGTATCAGCCGTGTCTTGTGTGGAGGACATAAGCAGTGGTTGTTTCTCGCACTGGCATGGCCAGGAACGTCAAGGGTACCTGATGTTTGCCGGTGTGCTCGGGTTGCTCTTGCCGTGACCCGTAATAGGGGATAGGGCTGAATAGAACCAGGTTAAACATGGAATGGAGGTGAGAAGCTTTAGGCCGATTTGGAGCCACTTTGGAAGCATATTTGCCTGAAGGATTACTGTACAGTTGGGTCTTTCATGGCCTGGCTTATGGTGGCGGGGTCTAAGCGAACCTGTAAACAGCACCTTTGTGAAGGGACGAGATATCTGGGCGCTTTCATCAAATGTCACCCCCTTCTGTTATATACCTGCAGTCAGGGTCCCCTATCTTCATACAAGTGAACAAAAAAAAGTGACGAATAAAACAAAAGGAAATGTAGTATGTCAAAATATTACATTTTATTCTGACTTTAAATACGTATAGAACGACTTACAAAAGCTAACTCCTGCTTGCGAATAAACAAAAGAACCAAAAAATGCATCGATATTAACAAAGAAAAGGATCTCAAAAAAATCTCATTTCACAATTCTGTGACTTGTCATTCCTTCTTCCTACAAACCTTTGAAGAATAACATCTACATAATTCAATTATGTACACCCTATAATATAATATTGCATCACATAGAGAAAGACCTGGACATAATCGTACAGTACATGTACATGACGAAGAACTGCACTCGAGCGGACAATAATACAATAAAGTTTTTACGACCCAGGACCATACCTTTCCGCTATGTATCTTATCCACAATGGGTTGTTCTGTTACTACATCATGTAAGATCTAGAGCAGCATTGTTTAATTCTATGCTGAAGAAAGTAAAAAAGTAGAAATAGTGTTTGTAAGATAGTTGACAGAGATGATGCAGTGGTCCGTTATATCCAATTCTTTTAAGGGGTGAAGACAACTGCTGCTAACAGTACAGTAAGGCCACTTGAACGCAGATTGTCAGCTACCAGAGGGAGAGGATTTGGGCAAAGGATGTTCAGGTATGCGGCTTTAGCCGGATTTGGACATACAAACATTTATTTTCTTAATCCGGAATGGACACTGGATAGCACCAAAATGGTGCTAGCACGTGCTTTTCTGCCACACGAGAGCATGAAAGCGTGGCTCTGAGCACTGCTTAGATAAGCTCTCTCTAAAATACAACGCGTGAAAGTATAATCTACGGAGTTGTGTGGGCAGCAAGGCTTCTATAATCTGTACAATGCCTGGCCATTCACACTCAACTACGTGCGACCCTGAGGTAGTAGAAGAAAGAATCTAAAGTACGTCTTTGAATACACACACACATAGTATACGAAGGTTTGCTTGCACAATCCGAACTAAAACAACAAAAAAAGCATGAAACATAAAACTAAATCATCCTTGGTGAATAAAATACATGATTTCAACTTGATTACAATGTTCTACAACATAGTCTATCTATCTTTCTTAAGCACTTTGCTTGAGACTTTGGAAGTGCAATAAATGGTCCAGTACTGCATGTTAGGCGAGTGGTGAGGAAGAATTGTTTGTTATACCTGCAACTGCGCAGCAATTGCATTGTGAGGTTTGGACCTGACGGCCCGCGGGTGCCGCCCGAGTCCTGAGGACGTTACGGCTGCTTGTTTTGTTCTTAGGAGGAAGAAGCGGATGGGATATCGGACGTTGGAGGCCCGACTTTAGACGTGGGGTTGTGTGGCTTGGTGTCTTCTGTTGGGAAGAAAACAGGAAGTTCATGTTTACCTCCCTCGGACGGTCAGCGTGGCACTAACTTGATCTGTCTGTGACTGGAACGGAATGGAAAAGGGAGGAAGAAATAAGAACGAGAAAAGGCCGCAGTTTCCTCATACAGTGCGCTAGCTCTAGCGGCGGGTCAACATGCATGTAGCTACTGTATAAGTGGTTAGCAAAATGATTTAAGGCAAAGTTTAATACCGTGCATTAACTAACGAGGCTTGTATAGAGGGGAGCTTTGCGGGTTATATGCGAGCAGTTTCACCCTGTAGTACACATACCAGTCATTGGTGAAGACTAGTGGTCTACACGGTAGTTTGGCATGCTAATATAAGCTGATTTATTCGGGTCAAATTAAGCGCTAGATAGCGTTTGATGTTAGTATTATTGACATGCTTTAATAGCGAACGCCATGCAGAACTAAGCCTCATTCAGTCTCATCCACTACAGAATTACTACATCGTGAAAAACTTTTGATCATGCTCGTAAGAAATGGTAGATAGTTCAAGAAAGGCAGTGTCGAGGGCTGTGGTTTGCAACCACAAAGTCGTCACTTTAATTGCCGTTCCTTCATGTTATTGTTATTCCTATAAATATATCACCCGTCCGTTATACTCTGAACGATCAAGCCCCTCGCTGCTCTTATTACGTGCAAGCCTGGTTGTCGGATTTCTAAACACTTACGGATATTGTTTTATTGCCACCTTAAAGTCATTAATATTACATCAATGTCAAACTTTTAAAACTCTTACAAGTACAGTAGTTCATGACTGGACCTCACTAGTCCGCCCTTAGCGAATGTAAAACTCCTGCTCACCTAATCCAGTTTGTGCGGCGGTGACGGGTTTGAAGGGTAGCGGGGCCGGGATGCTGATGCCCCCCTCCGAAGTGGTGACTGGAGCCCCGGGGGAGGGGAACCTCGGTTGTTGCCACCCGGTGGTGGGTCCCACGGTAGTGGGGGATTGATGGTACGGCATGTACGCCATCGTCTGAGGGGGAGGGGGGCCCGGGTAGGGTGTGGAGACGAAACTACTGACTGCTGGTAGTGAGCTCTGTGAAAACAGAGACAACTGCATGTTGGCATTTTGTACACATGTGTAGGCTGAGTTACAGTACTTGTAGTGTCATGTATCGGAGACCGACACAAACGTCCGTTAGACCTACTAGAAATCCTCACCCAAGACACAGATCTAGAGATTGAAATTACTTTTTTTCAGCTCAAAATGAAAATGTTTGTCAGAGTTGATCATGGCATTGTGCCCTCAACTGAAAGAGCCATACAAGGTTAAACTTCGTGTACTTGACATTTATTCTATATATTCATAGCATCAAGAATCATTATACCATGTCAAGGCACTGACAATGAAAACATTGGCTGTGACTAGTATGAGAAGGAGAAGGCTACAACTAACTCCCTTTCACCAATGATGTGAATGTAGTTCATATTGCCCGCCAGTTTTACTGCTACGCCCCCTTGTGACGTCACAGTGGGACATGGTTTGTTTTGTCTGTGCTATGTTGTCGGACACGGGGGGGGGGGGCTATCATTTCTAACCGCTTAATTTTCACCGGTAATGTGCCTCAGATATGCCTGAACAAACAAAGTACCGGATGATGAAAAAGTGAAAGATTAGATACAACAGCCGTGTCTGTCATTTCGACCCTCACGTCCCGAACTCATTTTCCTTCTTTTTCTTTTTCACGGTTTATTTTTCCGTTGCCGACTCACGTAAAGTCTATACTTTTTTCGCTCAGACATGTGGTCCAGATTGCAATAGTATACATTTTTTTAAATAAAAAAATTGTATCTTTTTATTGGAAAGCTCACCTGAGAGACATCTGGGTACTTGGCCTTGTCTGTCTGTCCCTGCATTTGGTTCATGTGATTCAGGCCGTAGCCCTCCCCCATCTGCGTCTGATACCTTGCACTTTCATTGGAGATTGCACCTGAAACTGGACCTGCAAAACAAGAGAAAAGAAATTATAGAGCAATTTGCCGGGGGACTTCGGGCACTCCAAATAGAGTACGGAAAGGACTTTGAAGAGAGCTATCAAGTCGTGCGGCGATGTAGGCGCTAATGTGAAGCAGCTGAAGTTTAAAGCCCGGTACAACCCACAGGAGCGATCAGGACGAGGGGATGAGACGGCAGCGCGCCTCGGGTGTCATCGCGCGCCCGGAGGGGACGGGAGGTTAGGATTTCAGGCGGTACCGACTTCTCCCGTACAGCCACGGTGTGGCTTGGGTGAACATCGCGCCCATTGATTATTTACATGTTTATTTTGAAAGTAAGACGACACACACTCGTGTCGGCTGAACGAGGCTTTAAACGTTCGGCGGTACCGGAGAGAGAAGCTGGCTGAGCCCGGAGCACGCGTGCTCACGCTGCGCGCTGCGGAAGAATGCGCCTTGATGCCCAGCTGTCTTGAATATGTTTTTCTGTTCTCACCATGGGAAATTGTGTGGGTTTTGGCACTCGGAACACTCATATCGTTTTGAATATTATTCACAGTGTCACTATGAATGACCTATCACCACATTTCAATATCAACCTGTTATATAACGAAAAATTGGGAAATTTTGTTATGCCGACAACGACCCTTGTCAACGTCTGGTGTAAATAAACACAAAGCGATCGTCATCCTGGCATGATTTATCATGTACAGGTTATTTATCTACGGCGGGAAAAGTTGGCGATGGAGCACGTTTGAGAGGTTGCTCGCGCTAGCAGCGGGACATGAAGGAAGTGGTGACCTCTGCCTGTTGAGTCTACTGTCGGCAACGTGCCGATGCCTCAAACGTTTAGCACTGAGCAGTTCGGAAAGCCCCTTTGGGCCTGGTCAATTTGACAGGCGTCCACTCGCGACACAGAAGGCACGCAGAACCAGGGGTGGGACGCCGGCAAATTAAAATGTCGTTTAAAAAGTCTGAAGGCGCCGGTCATATCTTGCCAATTTCGTTGGCTTCCAGCAGGGCTCGTCAATTTCTGGCAGTTTTTTGATCTTCTGGTAATTATGCTTTTGCATACGTATTAAAAAGGAAGAACGACGAGCTTGTATGCCCTTAAGGATAAACTTCATGCAATGTGAAAGTAGGACGGCAAGTGCACAGCCACTACAAGGGCAGCTGAGGATAACTGTAAAAATGGATAGGAAAAAGTGAAGCCATGGCTTTAATGAGGCTCCTGGCTGTCGGAAACGGCAGGGCGCGACATCAGCTGTTGATTAACAGTCCGGCCGGCTGGCCTTACATCACCATTTACGGCACTCTGGAGAATTATCTGCATCTTTTCTTGACATTCTTTTTCTCCACATTCTTGATGAAAGCATTTTCATCCAATCTGTGGCTTTCATGGTGAAAAGAAGATGTCAGTAAGCCCGGTAGCGTCTGTTGTTGTAGCTGATGAAATATACATCGCTACTATTACATGGGCAGTAGTCCTATCACATCAGAGTAGTTATGGGGCATATCCCTCGGCGGTGAACCGTGTAGCTATCAGATGCCCCGAATTATCGCGGGCGATGTGCCTGACACTAACAACGTTCAAGGTTAGGCTCGACACGTTTGTGTGTCAGATATGACAGCGATAACGAGCCTTCCGTACAGTATAGGATGTCCTAATGAGACGTAAGGTCGTAAGGGCGCCGCGTTTGGAAATGCCCTGCCTCCAGTGGGGGCGATCATAGGATTTCCGTGTTAGTCTAGGGTCCGAAACGGCTTGTAAGGTATATCAAAATCATATTACATGCAAAATCCATCACAACATGTTATCTTTTCCAATTTCTTGACTCAGTTACAGCCAAGCACCCGTAATCATTGGGTTCATTGCTTTCAGATGTGCGAGTGTGGTCTGGTGCCCGGCACGGCTGCACGGGAATAGGGAGGAAAGGTCCTGCCTCCATGGTCTGTCTACTCCGCCGGCGCAAGCTCTTTTTCTCCCGGCTCATTTGCGTTATCTAAAGCATAAATCTGATTATTTTGATACGCCGTACACAGTTACATGTGGCTCACATCTGGTTATCGACTTAATATGTCGGACCCAACCGGGATTAAACGGGCCGAAGGCTGCATTTTTGCGGCATGGGAAGTCTCCCTTTGTGGAGGGCGGAACCCCGGCAAGTCCGCTGCCGTTTTGGCAGCAATAAAAATTAAGCGCTAATATACGGCGGCCAGGTTGGAAAATATTCGATAATGACATGCATGTCTCTTCTGGAATGCCGCACCGCAGAGTCTTTACAAATACACACGCTGGACCTGACCCGAAACACCGCCCGTCGGACCAGGAACCGACCAGCAGTGCTTTTAGGGCAAAATACTGTCCCCATCTACACAAACCGGGCACCACGAGAACACGTTAGGATCGACTATTGTCACTGCATGGTGGACAGAGTAACACTGCCGTGTTCAACCCCTGGTTCGCTGTGGTTACACAGTAAACGATAGTTTATTTATACTCTCATCCAGGCCTGAACAGAATGTTCGCGCTTCCAAATCGCGGCGGGGCGTTTGTGGAAAAAGAAATGACCTAACCCTCCTACAATCAGACTCAGGCCCTCCTCACAGCACAGCCCGGCACATATATATACATGTATAAAGATTTCCATCTCATGTCGGAGTGGAGTCGTGGGTCAGAAGTTCAACAACACCCACAGGCATAACCGGCGGCCAATCTCATCAAGTGTGTTTCAACTTGGCGGAAAACCGCCGGAGCGCACCTCGGGGTGTTGGGAGGAGGGAAGGAAGGTCAGCTGTTCGGAGTGGGCTTTACTGGCCTCTTGTGGCGAGACAAGTACAATTAAAAGCATGCGACTAGACCGCATAATCCAGATATACACATTTCTTCTTTTGTAGAGATTCGCTAGTATTTTCAAACACATAAATATTTGTTGCATTTAAGTAATTGCGCGAATGCTGTTCCTCCACAGATATACAAAGGCTATCGTTTGGGATGAATACAGGATAATTCACATTATACTTTTATAATTCATGGGGAAATTGAATCACCCCAAAGGACCGAAAAATCGATTCGCTTCAAACAAAAGTACCAACAGTAAACATAAATGACCCGGCCTATTATATTATTACAAAACATGCCTTTCTTACACGTGCAGCATGCTTCCCCCAGTCACTTCAATATGATTCTTTTAGCTTTGCCTCTCTTATCTACATGTACATGTATATTTCTCTATCAAAGCGTGCAAAGTATTTACCATATCTTGCTGGTTTTAACAGACAGTATCGTTTCAAAACTTTCTCCATATTCAAAGTCAGCACGGCGAGAAGTTAAAGCTCACTATGTCATCTCTGTCTGACAAACCCAGCTTCAAGTTTGTTACTTCAGAAAGCTTGGTCATGTCTCAACCATGATAACGTCTTATTGTGAAACTTCACGGACCTCACCCCTTTGAAGACTAAGATGTTACCTTTTCTGTAGGCAATCTCCGGTGCATCGTGGGAAACAAACATCCGCGCGTCTCGCTCTTTTCTTCGCTGCAACTCTGCGCGGCGGGAAATTTGCACGCGACTGTGCAAATGCAAGGATTTTCCGCTAGGACATCGAAGTTCGGAAAACCATGTAATCGTCAACATGCTTTCCGATCTGTTGCCATATTTCATTCAGTCATGACCAGCTAGTTAGCTTTCTGCAGATTAAGACTGTTTTGGGTTGATTATCCATCAAAGCTGGTTTTCATACCGGACAAATCTGTTGATTCTTTCTTCAACATTGACTTGAGTCTTCCTGTAGTGTATTGAGAGAAGGCGGGGGGAGGGGGCGCACTTGCTCTCTGTCGGACTCACCGGAGAGGCATCGTCATGGGAAGTAAGCCTTAAAAGACATACTTCAGGTGAAATATGTCATCGAGGAATGCTATTGTGTATCGTCTCGTACCAGGCATATTTCTGACTTGGATTCAACTCACAAAGGCCGGCTTTGTTCTGCCCAAGAGCTAAGACGTCCTGTGTGTGACAGGCAAGGCTGTAGGACAGGACGGTCGGACCTCCCTGTCGCCAGTGAAGTCGGCATGAGCTCTTAGCTACCGTGTGCCCCACTGTTTGCCTGTAAGATGTCATGGGCGATGCTAAGCGTGTAATGCCAGTAAACAGACACCGTGACTAAGTAATCCTTTGTTTTTCGATAGATTCGGCTCAAGATATGGCGAATAAATATCCTTCTTTTCAGTTGAGCCGCTATATTGATGGATTTAATTTTCGGTGCTCTTTCCCCATGAAGGCTGGCGACCCTTGGGCTTGCCAGTAGCGTGGTGATAGTGCGATACCCTCAGCCTTATCAGCAGGCTCCCTGCCCTCACACGGCCGCGCCGGTATCGTTCTCGGTAGGAAAATAAATTTTCCACAAAGCTTCCGTTTTGCCCCAGTGATTGAAACCCATGTTTTCCTGTTTTTCTAACAGATCGGACTCTGCCCGGAGCGTGTCATTAGATAGCTGATATTACCTGCCGTTTTTCGATATAAAGCGAGGAAAGTGATATCAAAGCGCAGTTTGGTGCCAATCTCATCGTTGTAGAGACTATGAAGTTTGATTCTGTGGGAGTAGGATAGGTGGAAAGGGAAGCAAAAGCACACATGTGTAGCCATTTGGGGTTAATCCAGTTGTCGTCATAAGATCGGAGAAAACTAGTATAAACGTGCGCGCAAGGCAACTAATTTGTATCACTTTTAAGACGAAGATTACGATTTTTGCGCCTCATCTAACTTTTCCCCCGACACCATCAAAAACGAGAAGTGTGCCACTCATGAACATTTTCTTCAATCCTCAATTTTTTTCGTCCTCCAAATTTCACACTGTCACACATAGCGTCCAAGTTCTACATGTAGCACAGATAGGGAGGGTAGCTAGAAGGGAACCCATTTTTGGTTCCAGTTCCAAACTCGGGCCACATATCAAAACGTGTGATTTGTGGGGGCAGGCAGGTTTAAGGAACCAATTTAGCCGGCTGTG